CGCCAGTCACTGCCGGCGTGCTGGTGCTCCTGGGACATCCACATTGCACGTCGTGGGTGGGGGCTGGCATTTATTCGACATGCACCCCGGCGAGCGGGCCAATGCCCTTGCACAGGAGTCCCGTAGGCCGATCGCTCTCAAGAGCTCTTCGGGGCATGGCGACACCGCGGGGCTCGGGCCAAACGCCCAACGAGTGCGGTCCTTACGGGGACTATCCGTGGCCGTCGAAGCTCCGCCAGCACCCCAATCGCAAGTCCTGATTGGGCCGAAAACCCTCGATCACGGAAGATGGTGGTCGAGGGCCGCAAGACCCCCGAGGTAAGGGTCGGCTCCTGTGGCTCGCGTTGCTGTTGCGACACTAGTTGTGGCTGGCGGGGCGGGGGAGCTGGTCCTGGCGCAGGCCTTTTCGTGGCCCTCGGGATAAGTATCTGCTCGTGTCTTGGCCACTTTTGAGTGACCCAGCTGCGAGCAGGGAAACTAGCATGCGCCGAATCCGATGGTTACGTTCGTCGTGCACGTTTACTTGGGAGCAGCAACTCGAATACGACCATGACGAAGCATCGTTCCTCAGTTGTCATGATGAGCTTACGCGTGCGCAAGATGTTTGATGGCAGTGTCCGCTGGGAATATACGCAGGAGAACGTTCTTGCGACCTGTTTCGCAGCGCGTGGAAACGTCAGAAAGGCTAGAGCTTCGGTTCGAGAAGTTATACTACTATGTTATAGTTACTGTGTATCACCTATGTTTATCGACTGCGTTTTCAACTTCCATTGTGTGCGTACGAGATTGAGATATGCTTGAACATGCAGTGATGCCCTGCTTGCAGGTCATCAATATTGAGATCGTTGCACACAGCACTGGTTGGGCAATTGGGCGATGCAAGTTGGTCCAGAAGCGAGCGCTATTACAGAAGACCGCGCACAGGCGCTTGCCGCACTTCGCCTCTTGTTTATTCTTCCTACCATGTTTGATCGATCATCTCTGGACGGGACCGTTGGCTGCCGCTGTCGCTCGCTGTATCCCCTGACCAAATTACGCGGACCTCCGGCTTTCCTTGCGAACCGTGTTGTTGGTAACTACACCTACAGGAATATGCAGGCTCAACTTTGCCTCCGAATCCGTAGAACCTTCAGAATCTCGTGCAAGCCTCTCTGCGCTTGTCACATGCTCGCCCTCCGCGCTGTCGGTGCTCATGTAAGCCTTGTCTCGTGTCTTCGGGCAATTACCTTACTGCTCTTGTCCTACATGAGTGAGCCCGGTCTTGGGTATCACAAGCAAAGATGCTGCCAGACAGTATCATAATATCATCTAGCATCATTCGAGAGACACAGTGCATTGAGGCTCGACATGTGTTACTACAGTGCACATAATGTCATGATGTGACTCGAAGGAAGTAGAACACGACAAGCATGATGGGGGTTTCCCTATATCTTGCGCGCCACCGGACTTTCGCGACGAGGGGGACCATGCAATTGGATGAAGACCTCTCAACGAATCAGCTGATGTCCTGAGCCTGAGAAGGTTCGAAGGAGAACTAACCACAGGCGCAAGGTTCGTGATGTTAATTGACTCCGAGATTGCCGCGAGTTGGGCGACACAACATAGATGCATGATATCGTTTTTTGCCTTCGTATCAATCCAGATCTGTGCCCGCACAGATTCGTCGGCCCTGACAGCCGTACTTAGGTACGCGTAAACCATGCGATGTGTTACACCAAAGCTTGTTGCATACGACATAGGATTTGTGCTCCCCGGACGGTCGATTTGCTGGCGTGTACGCGTCAAAGGAGATGATGCTCTCGTGCTTATGGGCGTACCAGTTGCCTCGTAGAGGATAATCTGAAGAATACTAGACAGACGCCAGGATTAGTACACTCCATGCAGAATGACGAATTGTTTGAGTTACGTCGTACCCAGGAGCCTTGCGCGTCTTGCAGTCCTTCGTTGTCCGGAGTCTACCCCGTGCGTGAGTATAGCAGCTCTGATAGCTATATCGCACCTTGAAATAGTGCTCGCTAACCCACGCCAACCGCGGCAATCGTGCTGTAGGTCCATAGTGTTTGAAAATGTGCCCGCTAGAAGCGTGCCTCATGGTATGTCGGTATGGCTTTACGGTGCGTGCCTGAGACCGATGCGTCCGCACAACTCCCATACGTTTGAACCTTGTTAGTAAGTGCGGCGTTTCCCAGATATCCTAGCAGGTATATAAAGGGCCATGGAAGACTAAGTCGTCCATACTAGTAGCTCAACTAGTGAAGCTTCATCAATTATGTCGACGAAGGTCAGCCAAGCACAATACACCGTCGCCATTGTGGGTGCAACTGGAGACCTAGGTATGCTATCTACCATCTGTCCCCCGACAATGCCTGAAGTGCTGTTTTCTGCTTACAGGCAAGTATGTTACCGCGGTCTACTTGAGCGACCAGTATCGCACCCACTTTTCAAAGGTAATCGCCGTCGTGAGAGACCCGGAGTCTCCAGGCGCACGTAAGCTGGCGGAAGCGGGTGCGGAACTACGCCGAGTTGACGCAGCGAACGCTTTGTCTTCCTTCACTCGCGCTTTCTCCGGCGTCGATGTGGTCGTAAACACCGTTAGTAATGCTCCGGTGAGATACCACGACGCACTCTTCGACGGGGCCCTGCAAAGTGGTGTCAAGGTCTACTTCCCGTCGGAATTCGGCTTGTGGGTGTAAACTTTGGGGGGTTGCTGTGGCGAGTGCTGAGTGTTCTGCAATAGGGACTACAAGTATGCCGATCTTTCAGGATACGGGAAGTCCGTTTGGGATGAGAAGGCTCGGCACGTCTCCCGCGCGCGGAAGCTTGCTCAAAACAAAGTGAAGATAATTGAACTTGATGTCGGCATGTTCATTGAATACGTCCTAATTGTGAGTCAAAAGGATCGTGCGCTTAGTGTGTAGCTGATAATACCATCTAACTAGCCATGGTGTTTGTAACAATTCTCTTGCCGACACTGTGATGACGGCGGATCTGACACTAATCTTCTAGTTGGCTTTGATGCAACGAACTTGACCTTCGCATTCGCGGGTTCGCCTGATAGCAAGATCACGGTCACGAGTAAAGTGGACATCGCTCGTGCTACGGCGCGGCTCTCCTTGCTCGCCCTGTCACAGGACACCGCTGTCCCATTCGAGGGGGTCATACGCGTTGCAGGCCAGCATGTGAGCTACCGCCAGATTGCGGATGCCGTCGAACGCGTTAGAGGGGAATTCGGCATCGAGCCAAAGAAGGTCACATTGAAAATCACGGATCTGGGGCCGTACAAGGCCACCACTCGAGAAGAGGAGATTAGGACTGGGACACCTGATCTTAATAAACTCATCAAGTACGACATATTTCTCCTTCTGTGATATCCGAAGATCGGCTTATGATTTCTATAGGATCTTGATCGGGGAGGGCAAAGTCGACTACTCGCGTAACAATCACAACGAACTGGTGAACCCAGGGGAAAAGCTGTGGAAGTGGAAGAGTGTGGAGGACCACGTCCGCGAGCTGGGAGGCCGAGTTTGAGGCCCTCTGTCATGCCAAGTACCTGCATCGGGGATATGTATCTGAGATACTCGAAATTGAACAGCTTCTATATCATTGGAACTACCTATTCCTGCATGAGTAGCATGTGCAGCTGAACCGAATCTTTCATGCATGTTTCGTAAACTTTGAAGGGGTTTATGAGCTTTATCTCGCACTACCTGGCTGTTACACTGGAAGGGAACACCAGTCAGATTTATAATTGTTCTTGATGCTTCCGCTGTCAAATGCATGAATAACGCGACCGTCATCACACTTGACTCAGCGGTAGCCGCTGCCAGCTATACATGCTTGGGGCACGATCGAGAAGGCGCATGAGTGATCACTGCGAACGCGCTTAGTGGCACCTGCTTTGGACTAGAGCATCTTCGGGCGCGTTCTGAATGTTCGGGGCCACCACCATAGATATGCAAACCGCCTTCTTAGATCCTGGTCACGATGGCGGATGCAGTCTTCGTATGTCGTGCTATTCTAACGCAATCTCAGCAAGCAGATTTTGGTAATCGCGTTCACACTCGCTGCGCCGCCGGCATGAGCCTGAACTATATAACATACGCCGATGCCCTCATCGGAGCCCATAAAAACTGCACCCCATCCTCGGGACCTTGGGTGTCCCTTGTATGTCCTACGCCATGTCCACGAGATTAAGCCGCGCATCGTACGTCGTCGCTCTTGTCGGAGCAACTGGTGATCTCGGTCAGTTCTGAGATACTCGTGACTGCATCCCCACGCTCTCAATGGAGCTTACCATTCCGCAATGTAGGGAATCACGTCGCGAACGTCTTCTTGACGAGCTATCGCCCTTTCTTCTCTAAGATCGTTGTCATCGCACGCGATACTACCACAGCGTCAGCCAAACAGCTTGCCGCGCAAGGCGCTGAGCTACGCCAGGTGAATTCGGCCGACCCCGTTCAGTCATTCGCGCAGGCATTCGCAGGCGTGGACGTTGTCGTGAGCCTCGTCGGTAACGCACCACTGGAGTACAAAGATGCGCTTTTTGATGGCGCCCTGAAAGCCGGCGTGAAGGCGTACCTCCCCTCAGAGTACGGCAGTGACTATCGTGTAAACGATTTTCCGGGATGGGACGACGTAGCATGGATTGCAAAGGCCAAGCATGTGCGCAGAGCGCGGGAGCTGGCGCAGGGGAAGGTCAAGATCATCGCAGTGTACACAGGCCTGTTCTTGGAAGGTGCACTTGGAGTGGGTCACACACGCTTCTGTTGCGAAAACAATGCATGCTGAATACACTGAGCAGCCTTATAGTTCTTACTGTACGTCCACCACCTTCGACATCTGATGATACGAAGCTTACAGTTCCGCCATAGTCGGCTTTGATACGAAGAACCTGACATACACGGCGGTTGGTTCACTTGATGCCAAGACCGCCACAACAACCAAGGCGGATATTGGGCGTGCCCTCGCGGAACTGTCGCTCCTCGCGCTGTCGCCAGAACTGGCCTCGCAGGTTCCGGACGACGTGCATATCGCGGGAGATAACGTGAGCTACCGGGACGTACAAGGCATCGCCCACCGCGTGCGCGATGAGCTGGGCCTTAACAAGGGTGACATAGTGCTGAAGAGCGAGGATCTGGAGGCATACAGGGCGACGGTGCGCGAGGACCAGCTCAAGAAACCCGCGCCTAGCCCGTTGAGGCACATCAGGTGAGGAATAGATACCGTAGTTCCCCTTGTGCACCGTGCTGACAACGCTGTGTGCGTAGGATTCTCATCGCAGAGGGAAAGATGGATTTCTCGAAGAATCACAATGAGCTGGTCAATCCCGGTCAGAAGGTCTGGAAATGGGGGACCGTTGAGGAATTCATTCGCGCAAAGGGCAGCAAGTTCTTCGAGTGAGCTTGCAACGTTGATCAGTGAAACAAGCCAATTTGTACACTAGCCCGTGAGGTCTTGTTGTAAAACAGCGAAAGACGAGGTTTCAGAGGAAATGAATGGGAAGGCTGACTCTATCAAATTCATGTTTGAATTTGTTTGTAGTCGTGAAGACTCTAGCGCTAGTAAGCCAAGCCTCGGCCATGGTCGGCGACGTGCGTGTTGGAAAAGTAAACTTCAAATTTCTTGCCACTTCACTGCCACTCTGCTTACCTCGTATGTCTGTTCGCCAGACTTTTTGCGGTCAATTTTTCTATCTATACCTCTTTACACAGTCAACGAAGCAGACTAGAGTCCTTCTGGACACAGCATATCTCGCAGCACGTTGGAAATAGAAACCTCGGGCCTTGACCTACACTATGTCGGACGCACCAGAAATGCAGCCCTCAATTGAACAGCTGCAGCTCATCAATGTCGAACTACAGCGTAGAAAGGTAGACGCTGAAAGGGACCGGGACCTCTTCAGGGACCTCTATGGCAAGGCGTCCGCGCACGCGGGCGAGGTCTCGAAGGAGAACAACGAGCTTCAGGAGCGGCTGGTGATCGCGGAGGGTCAGGTACGCGATGGACTCAGCATGCTGAAGGGGACATACGAGGAGCGCGTGAGGCTGCTCGAGGCAGAGGTCGCAAAATGGAAGGCGCAATGCGAGTTGCTCGTGTCGCGCGACCAGAGAACAGATGACGAGGTGCGGCGGCGCGCGGCACTGGAGCCCGAGTTAAGGGAAGAGAATGAGAGGTTGAGCCACTTGCTGGAGGCGCTGCAGAAGGACTACAGTCGCATGGAGGGCGAATTGGCAGCGCTTGGAGAGAAGGAGCAGCCTGAGACGGACGGTGTACTTCCGGCGCCGATCGTCTCGACAGTCCACACCGCCACCGTGGCATTCATGTGAAATCTCAAATAAGGGTCGGTCGAATTCCTGGTGAATTGTTTCTGGTTGGTATTGTATCGTATATGGAGATGCGAGTTTGTATGTAGCCTACAATTCATGATTTTACAGCTATGCTACAGGATCCCAGTGACGCGTTTGTACAGCCTCGGAATTTATCGTACTTCTGACTATGTCTCGGACAATCAGTCCCGTGTTGTCCATCTTGGCTCCCAGAACATCTCGTACGTCCTACACACCCTTGTCGCTAAATACCCCGGTCTCAAGCCCGACTCGAAGGTACTCAACATCCCAGCAATTGGCCGGAAAGCGACGGACTCGCGATAGCCTGTTTCTAGATCATAGTGCAAGAAGCGCAGCTCGTGTAGGCTTGTACTCTGTAAATAGTAGTCGAAGAAGTCTTCTGCCCAGATGTTGAGTCGCATGTCTATGCTCCGCAGAGAGCGCGACGGCGGAGCGTTGACTTCTGTCACGCAGAAGGAAGGTGAGTTGGCGCTGGCGTATTGCTTGTGCTGCGACTCACCAGAAATAACAGGCCGCACAGGCTGCTTGCCCTTGTCCGCAACGAAAGGGACCATTCTGACGTCCTCGGCATCGGAGGCATCAGATTCCCCGTCCTCCGCCCAATTCTCGTCGCTTAAATCATCATCTATACCGCCATCTGCAGGATCGACCACAAACAGCGTCGGGAGAACGAGCACGCGGAGCCTTGCAGCAGCTCGAATGTGTTCCGCCCATGTAGCCTGGTACATAATCGTTATTTAATCTCACTTATAAGAACAAAACAGCGTACAAGGTAGACTCTGTCAAGCTTTGGCACGTAGGATGTCATCCCAGAGTGGTCGAGAACGAGTTCTTCAAGGGTCGGGAAGTAGAATAGTATATTCTCAATGATTGATGGGTGGTAGTCGGGAGAATATTGTCCGCCGACATTGACTATGATTCGCAGGCGGCGAAGGGGGACAGGCCTTAGGAGCGCCAGATAGTCTAGGCGAATGGCACCTTGAACGGAGAGCGAATGGAGGCTGTGCCAGGCTCCCGTTTCCTGAACGTGACGGTATGCAGTTGACATGTTTGACAGACGAACTATCGCACTCACTACGCAATGTGTGATAAGCTGAAAGCAATCAACCACGTTGTTCTCGTCGCAGGATATGGACAGCTCCTGGAGAGCGGCCCAGGAGAGCACACACTCAGCCAGGGTGCCTGCGTCCAGCTGGCGCAGGTCATGTGTTAGGTCGAGCTTCTGGAGTTGCTTCTGACCTAGGAGGAAGCCGACACTTGCGAAGGCATCCCAGGCTTCCGAGCGAATCATCACGCTCCGAATATTCCTCGAAGAAGCCGGGCGTAGACGGACTGAGGGCGATAAGACATTTGTGAGCGCAACTTCCCGAAGGTAAGGCAAGGAGAAGAGCGCGTCGACAGTCTGTGGTAATGTAAGAACGTGTCCCAGAGTGGTGGCATCCACGGTGACGCTTCTCAAACCTAGAGAAAGCATCACAATGCGGCTCAGATATCTGTCAAGTGCATCGAACAGGTCCCGGTATGATATGGCAGGTGATGACTGTCGCGAGGCACAATACAGGTCACACAGGTAGACGATCCTGACGTAGGTCCGAAAAACGGGGCGGACTTCCAGGGTCCATGTCAGTTGCTGGAGCGCGACGATGGTGCGCATCAGTGTTTTTGGACATCCATGACCGAGTCTAAAGTCTAGCCTATGGTAGGCCCAGCCCGACCAGGAATAGAGGTACTTGCAGGTCATCGCCAGCGAGAGGAAATCTGCAAGGTGAAGGTTCGTGAAAACGAGGGAAATAATGTTGTGTGGAAGGTGTAGAAGTTCGGTGTTCTGTTCGTTGAGAACAAGCGTGCTGGGATCGATCTGCAGATTAGTGAACAGCTCGAGAACGTTATCAACATCGAGAGATGGGCTGGGGCCGATCTGCATTTTGGAGAACAGCTCGAGGACATGATCAGCACTAGGTGGCGTATTGGAGCTGATCTGCAGTTTGGTGCAAGACTCAAGTACATGTTCCGTATGAGACATCTGCACACATTATCAGTAGCGATAGGAAGCCATGGTAGATCACACTCACCATGATACTGTCTTTTGTGCGCAGAGGGCTAATGAACGAGTCGCACCGCGATACGTACACGACGCTCTTATACGGAGACCCACCATTTCGATTAGCATTATGGCTACCCAAAGCTATTGTTATTGTCTTATGGTTGATGGGAGGGACAAGGCACAGCGCATGCCAACGGAGAACATGTCAGCATTCTGTCATAGTAAACTCTAACGGAAGTTCGCCGATCGAGGCCGCTACAACACCTACCATATTCGTCATAGCCTGTCGGATACACCCACAAGAGCAGAAACTGCGCTGGGTAACGTTACGTACAGGCCAATTATCACGTCGCACAGCTTTACAAGAATTGCACATCATGCGCGTTTAACATTGAGGAACCAATCATGAAAGAAGTCAGTTCGCACGCACGAGCTGAGGGGATATCAGCAAAGTAGTTGACAAATATCCATAAGGCTGGACTTACCGGTATCCCTGTACCGTCAATCTACTCAAGCCAGCAAGTCGAGGGAACGTCTCAGGGATGAAAGGGGTTCCAATACAATCATTAATGAAATCATGCTACACTTGGGTCGTGGGAGTTATGTGCGAATGAGCCAGGAAAATTGACAGAAATCCACGAAACGTTGACAAAGATACAGTCGACGGACATGAGAGCAGATCTAGCAGGATGACAGAGGAAGTTGAACTTGTTTCAAAGAGCGACCCGTGTCATGATGAGGAGCCATTCGTGCTGGGTTCCTGGTCTTCCATATCCAGATCGTTCGCTGACGGCACTGCAGCTGATGTTGCTGCTCCTGCAGATACAACGCCTCCGGGTTGTTGTGGGGGAGCAACATCCCTGACACACGTCCGTTAGTTAATGCGTGGTCTGAAGAAGCTTGGTATGGAGGTCGTACCATTTAATCTGGAACCTCGTTACCCTGGGTTTTGAGTTGATGTCCCTAACCAGCCGGTCAAAGCGGATGGGATCCGGGAGGCTCTCCTTCATCTCTTCGTTGTCATACTCTGTGTTTTGGTAATATCCTACCCTGACGAACTCTTGATCCCGGTAGGAACCGGTAAGGATAAGAGCAGCCACACCCAGGACGTCTTCTGGCGGAATCTTCGATGGACTCGGTGCGGACCCTTCAAAATCGAAGGCATTGACGCCAGCTGGTACTGGCCCCACCAAGCAGTCGTCAAGTTCCTGATCAAGCTCTTCATTCCCCGGTGACGACACGTAGATGAGACGCCATTCCAAGTCTATGTACGAAGGTGGCGTGTAAGGCAACATGAACGTTTCCAGCAGATCCCGTAGGTTAGCAGTGTGTGGGTCTCATACAGCAGCTGCTAGCGCACCTTCAGGTAGTGGTGCAATGCACTCAAACGTCACGCGGAAGTGATATGGGTCGGTGAAACGCGCCGGATTGTTGAGGAATTCGACATTCTGCCGTATATTAACGAGATCCGCCTGAGAGGGATAGATCGCACTCACTCGGATAGTGACTAGAGACATGTCTTAGGAAGTAAATTTTGGGGATTAGGGTATGAGACGCGCCTGGTGGCGAGGATGAGATCGTGTGCCAAGTTTTGAAGCATGACAGCTTGCCTCAGGAGACGCGTCAGGTCACACGTCCGTAACACCTTGTCACTGACTGTCGCGACCACGTGCCAACACTTCTTGCACCCAGCAGTGTTTGGTTGCACCCCTTGTAAGGTTATGTGATACCTTATACATGTACAGTCTCGACGCAATCTGTGGGCTTCTTGCTCCTTGTCCTGCGTCTTGCGGCCGAGCGCACAACACCCTCCAGGACAATATTTTGACCCTTTCCCTAGGCTGTGTCAATAGGAACCCTTGCTGATATATCATGAAAGGATACGGTAGCCAGATTCCAGCCAGTCATAGGTAAAGAGTGTAAGCGCTACAGTATTGCACGGGTATAGCGTACAGGGAACGTTGAACAGCAATGATCGTGAGGCGTAACGAGCGTGGCGACAGCGGCTATGAAAATCGACAAAAGTTGTGTATTGTACACAGAGTCGAGAACCAGCGACTTGAGACAGTAGACCATAAATAGGATCAATGACCAATAGAAAAGAACTTCGAAGTGTCGAGAAACCAAGCGAGACTTCGGCGACTATGGATACATTCTACCATCAATGCCAGTTCCAGACCAGCCCTATGGCTGTTTGCGGCTCTCGCCAGGGACCAGCCATAATACCTATCATACAGCATATCCCCGGTATGCGTACGGATCAGGCGTGTCCCGATTCTCAGAGTAGATTGTATTCCGGAACGGATCCACGCTGTCTGCACGCTCACCAGGCGGCGCACCGGATAGGCTACTCGACGCGCGCGACGAGCGGTTCGAATCGTACGCCACGTCTGCGCTGCGCGAGCCCGGCGGCCACAAAGTGAAGGAATTCCGGAACGGGCCCCACGCGCCGGACGGCGGCTCGATGGGCGTTGCGAGCGGGACCGACATCGACATCGACCACGAGCTAGCCGGCACAGATGAGGCGGGCGAGTGCGGCTGTGTGGATGCCGTGTACTGTGACGGCGTGACTGCTGTGTCTGTGGAGTGCCGCAGGGGGGACGGCTGGAAGATGATCCACGAGCGGGGCGTGGGCTCCGAGGAGGGCGTGGGGGACTGGCGGAGCAGTGCGGCGGACGCGGCGCGTGAGGCAGGGAACATGCTCATGCTCGGGCTCGAGCCGTTGAAGTAGCTGGTGCTGCGAAAAGCGTCCGCAGGAGTAGGGACGGACTGGATGCCGATCACGCTATCGAAGGGGTCCGCGCCGTAGCCGAAGACGGAGCCCGGCATGCTGAAGTGGGCCATGCGTGAGCGTGCGCGGACGCGGTTGCGCTGAGAGCGGCGCCTGAGGAAGAGCAGGAGTCCAGCGAGCAACGCGAGAGCGCCAAGCACGCTGCCGACGACCGCGCCGGCAATGGTTGCGCGGTGGCGGGTCGCACTGTGGAGTGGGAGATCAGTAGTTGATCGAATAGAAAAGCAAGTGGGAATGCGAGTAGAGCAGCAACGGGACATACTCAGTATGGCTGGTGCTCGAATTCATCATGGACCCATAGAGGGAGCTTGATGACCCTGAGGCCGTGCTCGACGCTGAGCCTGGTATTCTACCCGATGAGAAAGGGACGGATGCTGTTAAGGTAGTCGCCGGGATTGATGGTAGGCCTAAAGGATTGACACTCGATACAGACGCAATCGCCCCAGAACTATCACTGGAAGCAGAGCCTGATAAGCAACGCGGTGCGGTACAGTGCATCACAAACGTACCTAGTAGATGGGAAAGGGATGGTCGTCGACTCAAGCGTAGGCGAGGAGGCTACAAAAGTAGACGATGGCCCCACAACAGGGGATGAAGAGCCAATGAATCCGATAGGCTGAACAGTGAATGCGCTAGAAAAAGTGGCAGAGGAAAATGTCGCCGATGCATTTGGGAAAGATGCTGATAAAATAGAGGAAGAGGAGACAACAGACAACAAGGACGAGGTCTGTGATACAGACGATGATACGGGGGTAGAGCTCGGAAAGGATTCAGCTGAGGTAGTGCTCGAAGAGGATCCAGCTGAGATAGTGCTCGTAGGGCCCGAGGAGCTGATCGACGAGGAAGAAGTCGATAGAAACGTGCTACTGGCACTGCTCGAGCTAACATAACATTGAGTTGTTTGGGTTGACTGCACGGGGGAGAGCTTTCACCTAAGTCCAGAACTGGAAGACGAGACAGTCGAAAAGCTGCTCAGTCCCGTCGCGTTGACAACGGCGCTGTAGCTGAACTCGATCGTATGTTCTGTGTCCGATGATGCAGACCACGTACCTAGAAGAGGAAGCTGACGCAGAAAGTACAGAGGCCGACGATGTCGCTAAGGACGAGAGCGACATAGCGCCTGAAGCTGAGCTTGGGGAACCAGATCCACAAGGCCCAGATGTGGACCTAGAGGGCTTGCTCAGTCCACTTTGCGTAGAAGAAGGGGTAGTGCTAGCGCGAGAGAAGGAAGACGAGACCTGGAATGAGGAAGAGGCCGGCGAGGACGAGAGACCAAGTGCAGTGCTTGTCGGGGTCGCGGACGAGACGCCTGATGCCCAGGAACTACGCGAAGTACGCATCGAGACATCAGACGCAGCGCTCCCAGGTGTTTCACATGGCTGTCCCAGCGAGTGTGAAAGAAACATTGTAGGGACGCGTGCGTGGGCACGCCGCGAGCCTGGGGGCTCGCCAGGAGCAAGCAATGGCTAGGAGCACAGCTACAAACTTAGTTCAAGAGAAGACAAGGAGAAGGTGTGCCAAGGGCAAGAGGTGGAAAGGGTATCGCGGTCGGCCACTGACACCTGGTCACTTGGGCTGGCAGTGTTGCATGTTGATGTGCAACTGATGATGGTCTCTGGTACCAGGTCGCGCAGCCGATGGTCTTGATCTGTGCATGCCGACGGCTGCGACGCGTTCGCGGTCCTTGCTAAGCGCATCGAGAGCAGAGCTAGATCCGCGATGGTGGAAAACAGATTATCGCAGCGCTAAGCAACCGCCGACAGAACCGCATGTGGGACGCGGTCCGGACTCGGCCGCGTCTGCGCCGGACATCGCGAGAGATCGCGAGTCTCCTGAGAACAGAGTAGACAAATCCTTCCACCTGCGCGGGCTACCCAGGCGTGGCTAGAACTTGGTCGCGAAAATCACAAAATGGGTGCGATCATGCGGCTCGTGCAGTCATGATCGAATGAGGCCGCCTCGCGGTGATCGACTCGAGATGAATTGTGCTCAAACACCGATGAATTAAAAAAAATCCGATATGGTTTGTTCGCAGATCTAGGAGTACAATTGTATAACATGACAGCACACACAATCATGACGAATCTCCAGGGCTACAAAGAAATATGGGACTTACTATTTTGAATATCGATCGTTTCAACCCAACCCATGACTTCACAATCGACATTCGCTTCATCTCGCCCAAGCCGCGCCGCGGACCCATTCGTTCACTCGACCAGCGCAAACCCCAGCCAGCGTCACCGAATTCCGGCGCCAGAAAGAATGCTCGATGTCCGCCTGAGCTCTCGTTTCCTTCCCCACACGTCCCAAACTTTCAACTTGGACTCGCCTGGCACCGCGAGTACAATGCGTTGCCCATTCGGGCTGAGAACGCTACCGGCTACACTTGCTTGAGCCGCCTGAACAAGACATACTTGATTAAGGGAGGGAAAGCGGTGAACCGCCACGGAATTAGAAAATCTCGCAGGACGGGGCTGGGACGGGAACGGGAAGATCATGGAATCAAGGTGCACATTCGGGGGTGGGGAAGTAGTTGACTTGCCCAGTCCATGGGTACTGAGAAGTTCTTTGCAGTGAGTGGAAAAATGAAGTGAAGTGATTTGCGCGTCGAGCTCCAATTTGGTTGGATTGGTTGATGTAGGGTGAGGCGAAGAATTCACGTTCCAAATACGTATCGTTCCAGTATTATCTTGTGCTGAGTCCCCGCTTGCGAGAACACCCGATTGCCATGGGCACCAAGCCAAGGCCTTACAGGAAGGAATAAAGTTAGTGGCGCGCGACGTTTCGGTGAGGACGGCGACGTACGTGAACAGCACCCTCGTGCTGCATTTTTCGTCGGCGTTGAATAAGGTCCCCAACGTCGAGGGGCGCATTTTGTCTGGAATCCCAGACATGGACGGTCCCACTCTCATCGCCACTGGCCAGGAATTTACCATCTGAGTTCCACGACAGACTGTTAATTACCGCTTGATGACGAGTCGTCTTACGGCTCTGTTCCTTCATTTTTGCGGTCTCCTTGATACGAGTGTCATAGTGCCTAATCGTGCCTCGGATGCCGCCGACCGTGAGCGATTGACCGTTCCACTGCATAGCAGTGACGCCCTTCGTCGACCAATGTGCGGTCATTTTATTTGACACGAGGTCCCATACTTGAATATGGCCGGTGCTGGTGCAGACAGCTACCATGTTTTCCATTAGACCGGTGGCACATTGCACCAAGCGCAAATTTCCATGCTCGTCACGAATTTTGCAAAGTTGCCGGACGTCGTCTCCTGTCGCTGCCATGTTCCGGTAGTGTACGCGGTTCCCGCGCCCGAAGACGAGGATGTTCGACATAGACCAGCTAACTGGCGGCGCCGAATGGACATCGGTTTCTGCGTCTGTGACGGTGAAGTCGAGGGTCATTTTTGCCCCCCTCAAGTGGTGCCACGCCGATTCGGGCACCGAGGACCCGGGTGTAGCGCTGCGAGCGTCCTGAATAGAGCTCGCAGAAGCGGTGCGCATCAGACCCAAGGTATCGGTCATACTTGTGGCTGATAACGAAGGCTGACGAGAGATTGTCTGCCCGCCGTAGGCTAGTGAGGACTCGGCATACGAAAACGACGCGCTTGGGCGAAGTGTCCGCGGGCGTCGGGGGGAGATGGTGGGATCATTGAAATAATCTCCTTCGTCTCGAGGAATGCTAGGCATCCTGTCCAGCTGCGTGGAAAGGGGTCAAAGCGTAAGTGTGGCTGGTCGGTGTCACGGGGTAGACTTGACCCACATGGAGATTAGCTGTAGAGATTCGTCTCCCCCCAGTTCTCGTGAAGAGACCAGACAACCGAGTGGATGCTCTAGCCCGCTTGGGCTCGGGGGGCGTTTCATCTTCTGAAATTGACAACTGTCGCTTACGCTGTCCACGGGTGAGTACCATTGAAATAGTACTACTCGAGCTGTTGACGGAATCAACAAATCAACAGATGAACTACACGATGACCGAGAGGAATCAACGCACGGTGAGCTCGGGAGCTCAGGTGGTGATGATGCCATGTTAGCGAAATGTAGAGTACGGGTGTTCGCTAAGCGGCAAGTTATATCGATTTAAATCGTCACGAACAACGGCCACGCTTACGTAATCAGACGCGCGACGCGGCTGTATTATGATGGCACGGGATCGTGGTTCGCAATGCCATTGAGTAGGCAGCGCAACCGTAGTCAGCTGCTATAGAATTACAGCTTTCAACTTATCTACACGTAATAAGTGCGAAGGGATGCGCAGTCTTCAATGGGAGCTGTCAGTGCTGACCAGGGATAGGCGGGAACCAGCTTATTTGTGTTTATTTGCGTCACGCGGACCCACCACAACTGGAAATACGTTCAGTCTCAACATCTTGGGGCTAGAAAAAGAGTACGACTTGTATAAAAAAATTACTACGCTGCCGCTGTTTGCTTGAGACTGACCGCTCGAGCTCAGGCATTGAGGCAATTGAGCGCTTAACTTTGCTTCATGACTTCCACCAAACCAAAATGTCCGAGCTGATGTAGGGCCAACGCTGCAAAGATGATCGTCTACCTAATACATAGTTACAACATGTTTTTGCACGCCTTAGCTCTAGCGTCGTTCTCAGTTCACGGCCAGGCGTCGTTTACTATGAATGAGCCTAGGCACAGGCACGATCACGTGGTACTACCGTACGCGTCTGTGGCTGTCGACGGGTTGGTGAAAAGCTTATTTACACGCCGAGAAATTGTCCACCAAGTGCGTTGCAGGGTGGAAGGCAATCGCGTGGTAAATGGCGTTGCGGGATGACCATCCATTCTCTTCAAAAATCTTGCTACCCAAGCGCGCCGGAGTAACCTACAAACGCTATTGGAAAACATGGATGCTTATCCCGGAGCCTCCAGAGCGTGGTGCCTAGACAAGTACTTATAGAGCCTTTTTGTAGTTTCTTCCGAACATAGATCCGCTTTGTCTTCTCGTGAGTGTCAGCATCAGACTCTGTCAATTCGAAACACTGGAAGCGCCGAAAACAAACAAATGCAAACGTCCCTTCATCAGCTTCGAGTCTCACGCAGCTGTGCTCAAAGCGCGGACAACACCCGTCTGGGAAAGGATGGCGACCCATCTGTTTCTTTGTTCTGCCTCATGCGGTGACCGGCGGAACGACGTCCTTAGCTACTTAGTCGTCGCACCTGAGTTCGTCTGCCACCATGCCACCTCTTTTTCACCGCACTCGGCGACACTCTTCCATGTCGTGCTTCAGCATGGTGTCTGCGTCGCCTGAACCTTCGCAGGTGGCTTCCGAGATTGTGGTTCCCCGCAAGCACCTTCGCCGGTTCTCGAGCGTAGGGAACGTCATGCGAAGCAAGAAGTCGGGGCCTGCGTCGGAGGCGAATGACGATAGTGACCTTGCGATATCGTATCCATGGAACTTCCAGGTACGCATTATTAGGTGTGTCTGTTTTGGACGTCTCTGATAGCGGGACAGCACAAGATCCACGTGGATGAACAGTGAGTAGGATACATGTGCGATAATGCCGACGGTATCTCACGTGTTACTCAGTCTCAATGGGCTGCCGGAGACGTGGTCCACATTGCTCGAGAAGCCCAAGGGACTTGAAACCGTTGACGAAAGGCAGTCATCCGAGGTGCGAACACTAATAACCCATCGCGGGATTGGCCAGGCTGACAATTTTGACATGCAGTCTCCAATGTGTGCACCTACATCGGAGATATCACCCCCTTCGGCCATTCAAGTATGTTAAGACGTAGTATTTCCGAGCATTCCACTTATGATGAACTTTGTAGCACAATATACATGTGGACGAAAAGTGAGCTAGGTTCTAAGTAGACTTCTATTGTTCTCACTCAAAATCTGTGTTAGCCTCAACGGTCTTCCGCCGGCTTGGGCTGCCCTGCTAGCTAAGTCTGGCCAGGAGAAGCCGCCGAAGTCAGCACGGCGCAGATCCGTTGCTATAGAGTCCCCTGTGTTCCAGGCGGGTGGCGATCCCTATATCTCCCTTCCCTGGAACTTCAAGGTTTGTTTTGCCTAAGCTATGTGGCTGATTTGTATGCTGAGCGGGTCCGACTTCATTCAGCATGACATACATGCCTCAGCGGGGTACGTGATGCTGTGTCATGTTATCTAAGCCTCTAGTCATTCCATTTTAGAGCCGACGGGCTACCGCGCAACCTCCCTCCGATGTTCATTGAGCGCCTCAGCGAAGTGGGCTACACCGAGGTTGAAGTCGCAGCCATTAGGGGCGGAGTATAAGTAGCCCACTTCTCAGTCTTTGGTTTTCCTATATCCTATCATCGCCTATTTCAATGCTACTTCTAGATCAAGGGTAAGGTAATATTGGGATAGTACGTATTTATCGCTGTATTCAGGCTGTAGCAATCGGAGCTCGGGATGCAGCTGGGCTGCTCAAGTATACGAGACAATCATACTGTTCGACCTTACGCTCTGTTTCGAACGTGTAAGTTGCTCCTTACACTATCGACTCATTTATCCACAAGACAACGCCGATGGCTCGAGATCAACCGACTTTCCAATGTGGCTAGTCAGTCAGTGTTCAATATTCAATGTCCAAATCCATTCGCGGATACTTGAGGATTAACCATCTGCTTTCATCGGAATCGCTCTGCGTAGCATTTCGTTGTCATCCACAGCGGATTTGATCATGTGAAATGTCTCAAAGAAACCTCGCTTCATGCGCCATTCTCATACTCCCTGGTTGGGCAATTCAAGATTGAAGCGTTTACAGATGACCGTAAATGAGGCGTACTCTGGTGCTATATATATATTGGTGTGGTTCCTTTACTGCGGCAGTCAGTCATATATTCACTATTATCCTACTCGATGTATGGATCACATATACCATATATGTGAGCCAGTTTCGCGGCACGCCTTTCTGAGGCGCTACGTGTATGGTATGAACAAAACATGCTAAAGAGCATGATCGCTTAATTTGGGTAGGAGCTTACCCGATATGGCAGAACGGACCTCGACGTCTCTTCGTCTTATGAAATCATATCCATTCACGCTCATCACGTCGTAGTTTGATGCCTTCATCCCTTGCCATGCATACCTATAAGAGTACCGTGGCACGTCAACCCGATTCACCTCTTTTTTGATTCGCCATCTCCCCTGTTCCAGTCTTCCTCTTTCAACGTCCCAACTCCATCACTCCAACTTCAGCGTATGCAGCGCGTGCACCACTAACAAACGTACGCATATCACCATTCGCGAGGGGTGTGCACCTAGACCATCTTGAACTCGACATCATCGTCAATAAGACAAATTTTGTACTCTCCTGAACTTATCTCGAGCCATCTATCTAATTTCTTGGTTGCGTGATGCATTCACCCCCATTTTTGTCCTCCTTCAATCCTACAAGTACTCAAAACTCACATTTTAAAACATTTAGCTCCACAAACGACGAAGGCGCTCCCGCGTTGGCTATCGGAGTTTGAAAATGAAACAAGCAATAGAACGGCCAGTGAAACCAACGTAAGCACAGCAATTTGAAACGCTCGGATCTGTCCACGACGCTCAAGCGCGAGCTCATCGACGACGACGATGGCAACACCGTCCACAGGCCGCCAGAACTCCCGCTTCTCGTCGCTGAACGTCTTCAAGTTCGCCTCCAGCCCGAAGCCGCCCCCGCTCCCGCCCAAGGACATCCACTATATGCCCAACCCGTCCCTTCCTTCCTTGAATCACTCATTGTCTCCAGATTCCTTCGCATCTCAGCCCGCCACCCCCCTTTCTGCGCAGTACGGGGGCCTCACCAGAACTCCTTCGCCATCACCGTCTTATGCGCCTAGCCGCATGACTATGTCGCCTGCTTCGTCGTCGTCCGCGCTCTCGCCCGAGTCGGCGGGGTTCAGGAGAGGTCTGCAGAAGTTGTCCAGTTTTGGAAGACGACCGAGGACACCCAAGTCACCCGAGCGTGATCTTGCCGCTTTACAACCACCAGACCCGGTCGAGGATCCGTCCATATCATTGCCGTGGAACTTTCAGGTACGCTTTGTGGGACTGTCGTTGTGCCAGTCTGACCTGTTTCATGCAGCACAACGTGCATGTTGATGAAAGGTTAGCAACCCCATTGTCATCAGCTCATCTCACTGATCGCTATCACAGCTGCAATGGACTGCCACCAACATGGGCCACGAAGCTGGGTGAGATAGGGCTGAGCGAAGAAGAGATTGCAACCATCAACGCACGCCGGGCGGCTTCGCGGTCGCAGAATACGCGGTCGATATACTCTCCAAGCACCGAAAGGAGTACAATCTTTGCAGGTGGAACAACCTTGTCATTACACCGCGACATGTCGGCGTCGCAGTCGTCTCTGGCGTCAAGCTCGCGCTCACACCATCGCGACGCGTCGTTCACAGCATCATCCGAGGCTCCTCTCAGCAGTAGCCATGAACACACGTCGGGTGAGAACCGTACTGCGACCCGACCTCCACGTCCAGTTGCCCCATCACGACCTGTCCCCGTTCCTTCAGAAGCGGGATCAAGTTCCACACCTGGTCCGTCTAAGGACGTTCCGCCACGGACACCACCACGACGAGCGTACCATGTCGCTAACGACTCACTGAGCGGCATGTCGCCGCCACCGGCATATTCGTCTGCAGGAGGTAGCGTACCACTGACCAACGTCAATGAGAGTTTGGTGGCTGCTTCAGAGAAACGGCCATTTGGTACAAATCCACCACAGCTGCCGGTCGCAGGAGGACTGCACTCGTCCACATCAACGTTTTTGGGCTCACCGCCACGGTTATCTTTGCAGAAGGACGGCCTTGGTGACTTGTCAAGCTGGTCCGAATCGCTGTTCTCCATAATCCCTGCGGCATCAACGTCGACCGTGGAGATACCTCCTAGAAATACTCCTTATTCTACACCTGCATTTGCTTCTACTTCTACTAACATCACTAATCGTTCGCCTGCTTCGGTTCGTTTACGCTCCAAGTCGCACTCGCGTTCGCCGTCATCGCATCGGAATCTACCCCCGCAAAAACCCGTACCTTTGCATAATCTCCCGCCACGAACCTCGCTCGCGCCTGCTTCTACAGATTACACGCCACCATCATCCGCCAATACTTCCAATCCCCTGTGGCACGAAGTCATGGAAATGGTGCGACCATCAAATGACGAAGAGACACGATCAAAGCATCGGTCTCTTAGCAAGCCCAAGTCCACGCCGGCGTTGACTTCCACTTCATCATCATCCTCTGGTTCCTCTTGGTTTCCTTCGACGCCGGAGCCTCCATTACCGGTGTCAGACACATTACAACTCCCACGATCGCCAACACGTCCTAGGAGTGATGCTGGAAGCGATAAAGGACTCGAGCTGAATAACGAGGATGGTCTCCTATTGGTGCGCCCGCGTGAGAAGGATAACCGTGATTCCGACCTGTCAACAGTAACCATCGTACCAGCGACCATCGAGAGGGGTGCTGTCGCCCGTAGTGCCCGAGGGAATATTGTAGTGTCCCCAGTGAAGGCCAACGACGAGGACGCAGTGCAAAGGCAGTCCGCCTTCCTCATTACCACGACAACAGCGGACAATGATGATCGGAACAGCGGACGCTCTCAATCGCCCATGAGTTCTGAGTCTCGCTCGAGTACTTCGAGCATCTCCACAACTGCGTTCGGGTCGGGCTCCACGTCGGGATCAGCATATACGAAGATGTCGCCTCGCCCCTCCCCTCGTGTAGCAACATTCGCTGCGGCCGAGGAAGGGTATAGCGTCCGCTTGCAGAAGGGCAAGAGCGAGCTCCCAGAGCTCAACCTCGACCTTGGCCTTGACTTGGACCTGGATGCCCTCCGCCGGCCGTCGATACTCATCCAAGACATTATCGCCACAGGTGGTCTATCGGACCACAACGCGCCTTTGTCCGCGCGGTCGTCTCCAATCACTCCGGCGCCTCAGTATCCAGGATGGGTGTCTGAGGTAGTTGCACCATTGTCGGACTTCATTGACCAAACGCTCGATCCCCGCACGCTGTTCGGTGAGTTCCGAGAGATTGGAGAGGGTGAGAGCGGTAGCGTGTATGCCGCGCGCGTTCTCGTCTCAGAACGTAGGGTTGCCGGCCCGAGCTTCGTCGCGATCAAGAACGTACCACTCCTTCCGTCGGGTTCGCCGAAGTTGATTGACTTGCAGCGGGAGTTGAGCTTGATGCGCGACGTAACGCATCCGAATATCCTTAGCATGGAAGGGCTTTTTGTGGATGTGGTTGAGGATGCACTGTGGATCAAGATGGAATTGATGGAGCGCAGTTTGGCGGATATCATAATGCTGGTTGAGGAAGGCATTGCCGTGGAGGAAGGACCTATTGCCCGGTTTGCGTGCGACGTGAGTTATCATTCTGCGTGCCTTGGAGAACATCTTCGTAACCTCAACTTTGGTCGTGGCTCACACTTGATTGTTCCTATAGGTCTTGCATGCTCTCAGTCATCTGCAGTTGCTGGGAATCGCGCATCGAGATTTACGCTCAGATAATCTATTGGTGAATTCCGAGGGAGTTGTAAAGATCGGTCAGTTGCTGTGATTGTCTGGTGTACTGCCATCACTGAGTGATCATTCATCGCAGCTGACTTCTCGAGTGCGGTTCGAGTGTCTCGCAATAAGCCGACACGAAGCGATCCGGCCGGCGTAATTTATTGGCAGGTTTGTGCATCTGGCTTTTGTGGATCGTTGCTATGCTTACAGACAGTGCAATACCCACAGCCACCAGAGATGAGGCAGTGCGTACCTTTAGTTGTCTGTCTTACCTTCTACTCATGTGATACCGCAGGGGGACATACAACGCCCTAAAAGTCGACGTGTGGTCTCTGGGCGCAACCGTATGGGAATTGGCCCAGGCGGAGCCTCCATTCTCCAATACCACCGATCCTGGACAGATGGCTGACCGATGGCCACCACTACTTCAACCTGAAATATACTCACGATCTTTTCACGATTTCTTGCATCTATGTTCGCAACCCAGCTCGTCACGACCAACCCCAGATGAACTTCTCAAGGTGAGCGCGACGTTGCGTGATTCAGTGTTCCGCCAGCTGATTCCTGTGTCCCTCAGACGCCATTCATTCGAAGTGCGGGCGGACGCCCCACTGTCCTTCAGTTACTGGCAGAGTGCAGATCAGTCGAAGAACGATTGTCTCGACGGCAGAGTACTGACTCGGATGGGACCGTCTCGTTATCATAGTCTGTATCCACGATACCCTTTTGCATCGTTGATTGGACACTCTTGTGCTTTACTATACAACGTGTCTACCGTGCTACGCATGCATGCTGCAATGTTTGGCGCTGCCGTACCACTCGGAACTGTCTATGATCGTGTCGCAGTATCCACGTTGAAAGGACGATACCGTAGTACACATGCCACAGATGCGGGTTCTCAACCTATGTGCCCCTCATTATACAAGATGCGTGGTGAGGGTCTGATTGGTCAGCTATCAAGTTCAGTGTTTCCGACTGCCCTGCAGTGGCGCAGGAAAATCATTGAACGTAGCCACGTGATGCGTATGTGGCTCAAGCTCCGCACGCCCCAAAGCCATGTTGTGGACACGGTGCTAACTCAGGAAATCCCGTCGGTTTGGGGGCTTACTGCAGATGAACGAATACTGACGCGCTGCGCAAGCACTACATTTCAGTAGCATTCAAGTGGCGCCACTAGCCTTTATATCTGTGTTGATTCTTGAAGCCTGAAGGTGGCTCATCAGGACCTCTCTGTGGTTGCAAGGCCACGCCCTTCCAATGAGAATACTCTATCCCTGCACGAGGCAAGCATTTGCATTGTTTGCCTCATCTTGACCGCTGATGGCTTGCGTTTTCATTTCGTACAGAGCCACCTTTACGCAGAGCCCCCCCCCCCCCCCCCCCCCCTGGTCGTCCGTGCCACACGATCTCTGAACTGGCATATAAAATGCTTTCGAAAACATCTACCGTGGACTCACAGTCACCATGGGTGAGCCAAGTACTCAATCTTTTGCCACTCGTTTTACTCAACGTGCCGAAACGCCTCCTCGTGCAAAGCTAACGGCCGGCTCGTCGTATCGACTTAGCGACCTCAAGACACAGCGCAAGACTCTCATAGAAGAGCTTGGGCCTACTATCCCTGAGGTACCCATCCCCTACTTTTTGACGAACATTCTTCCGGGCCTACGCGAAGGGCTCGATGTGGACGAGATCGCTACGAAATTCAAGGCCAGTGGACATATTACTGACGATGGCCGCTGGTCTTGTTTTCCTTGTGACCCAGCTCAGGTGAAAAAGAGAGAGGAGCAATGTTTCCAACCACTCGAACAACTAGCTGAAGCAATAAGTACCGCCAGCGGAGGGGGGAAGCACGCGACTCCTACACTACACGCAAAACCCTTCCATACAACCTGTCTGCACGCTCAGGGACACGAAGAGTCCAGATGGGTATTTCATGATATCTGATGAGACCAACCAGGTCTATTGGGCGAACATTGCCATGTCTGCCGAATTCAAGAAGAAAGCAAGACCTGCCGACAAGGAAGATGTATGTATCTGGATATTTCTGTTGGTTTGATAGTACTGATCGTATGCTCAGAACGTTGCGAAGATTATCTGGAGTATGCATCAATGCATGCGGGAGGATCCCCGTCGACGCTTCACGTTCGGCCTCACAATTGAGAACAAGGAGATTAGATTGTGGTTCTGCACTCGTGCACAGCTACTGGTCAGCGAGGGTATCAATTTTCTGCAGGTGCGTTGTCCATCCTCCTTGCAAAACGTTGACTTTAATTTGTTGTCGTCGCTTCCAGGACCATGCTACTGTCATTCATTTATTTCTGGCATTGATGTATGCGAAGGATCACGAGGTCGGATGGGACCCGACCATATGCTACGCACGGGATCGTAATGGCGAAGTGCTCCTCCACGACGGGGTGCCGCGCCTCGATATCACCATTCATGAGGATGGAGAAGAGCCTGAAGTATATCGCACTACGAGGATAATCTCTGACATCGCTGCAGACTCTCCGTTAGGCAAAGGAACCCGCGTCTGGGAGCAATGAAACTAAAAGCCAACAATGAAGAAGTTGGGCATCCGGTCGCCCTTAAAGACTCTTGGATCGATCATGACCGCATGAGAGAGGGCGATATCCAGGCCCAGATCCGATCTGAGATGGCAACTGCCAAAGACAAAGAGGACATGGACCGTTTATTCTTGACCGTCCTAGCTCACGGCGACGTCTACATTCGGGAGCGGCCAGACCACACTCGTGACCTAATAACGCATGGAGCGGATGTTCCCGTTGACTGCCCTGACTTTATCCTCCCAAACCAGCTCAAGATACGCAAAAGCCAAACGTCTAAGTCTCGCGGGAGAAGTCGCCCCGCGCCCCCAACAATGGGAACAGGCCATCATCGCAGTCTGGAGGAACAAATGCCTCCACCTGTCACACAAATCAGGTATCTTCCGAAAATCCACTACCGCATCGTTTTGAAGGAAGTCTGCGAGCCCTTGCACAAGATGACATCAATGAGGGACGTCTTCAATGTTTTGCGACAGATCGTGCTCGGTGAGACCATTCGTGTCTGCTGTATTGTCTGATTCACTAAAACAACTTCAATAGCACTACGACTGATGCACAAAGCCGGGTGGATCCGTCGTGACATTAGCTCTGGTAACATTCTATGGTTTTGGGTTGGTGACAAGCTAGTTGCTAAACTGGCCGACTTGGAATATGTGCAGCGGATGTATGTGGCATTAACATCGCACGAAATCCGGACTGTGAGTATGTATCACAAAACCTACAAACCCACCTTATAGCTTGATATTGAGGGGGGGAGATAATAGCACTTAAGTATGGGGAGGTAATGCTGTTAAGCGCAACAACGAAGTGAATAGAACTGGGGGACAGGGTGCCCCAGGATGCTGCCTTATATACATGAGGGAAAACCCCCCAGGGACCAGTAATGGACCCCTGGTACCTAGCTGGGTAAGGATTACTAAGTATCATGTGCTCTATGATGTCATAGTCTGCCCCTGCCCTGCCCTGGGCCTAGGGTCCAGAATTGACCGGCCTATGGCCTAGTGCCTGAGCCTAGCTCCTACCTATGATGTCAGAATGATGTCATGGTCCAGAAGGAGTCTGGTTTCTATCTAGAAAAGGTCCAGCATCAGAGTCCAGCCTGATGTGTCCAGAACAAGATCATGTGTCGCTTATTTAAGCGGATAACCCCTTAGATATGCAGTTGTACCCATATGCGGACGGATAAGTATGGATAAGTCCCTATACCCTTTGATATGTCCGCAGAAATAGCGG